AGAGAGAGAGAGAGAGAGAGAGAGAGAGAGAGAGAGAGAGAGAGAGAGAGAGAGAGAGAGAGAGAGAGAGAGAGAGAGAGAGAGAGGTTGGGGGGGGAGGTGAGCGGGGGGGAAGAGCAGGAAGAAGAGCACGAAGAGGAAAAGCACGAATTTTGCGGGGCACATGCTAATTGTCTGTGTATCGAGCCGACGAGTTTGACGGAGGCGAAAGAAAAGGGGAGGGTGAGCGTGCGTGTGCGTGCGTGTGTGTGTGTATAGAAGGGTTTCTTTTATATTCTCCAGATCGGGTATTATGATTGTCGAGGAGGTTTTTATTTTTATTTTCTAATCCAGGCGATCCTTCTGTTCCCCTGCCTAATTAACCGGGAAGACAGTTGCTTTCTTTCTGTTATCCCCCCTTTTTGTTATTATTTCTCTGCATTTCTTAGTGTATACGCGAGACGATCTAGTTGAAGGATAATCTACTCCCTCGAATAGATTGCATGCGCACAATTGTGCCCTCAATTGCCGGCAGGCACGACAGTTACGTCTCGGACATCACCCATGTTGCTTTCCCGCGCAAAACGTCCAGCGATGTCGTTTTGTAAATCTGCTAGCTTGCGCGCGCGGGGGAGAGAGAGAGAGAGAGAGAGAGAGAGAGAGAGAGAGAGAGAGAGAGAGAGAGAGAGAGAGAGAGAGAGGTTCAACGACGCGTCTTGGGAGGAAGAATGAGAAGTTACTGGAAAAACGGAGGGGATAGGCGGCAAAATGAGCAGAGATGGAAGAAAAGGGAAGAGACGGATAGGAGGGACTGTCTCTTTGCGTTTGCCATGCAATCAGTTTGCGGCGCGCGAGAGCTCGTTGATTGTTGGAGAGAGCAATCTCCTCTAATTTCCGAGAACTTGTGGCCGCTCCCTCTTGCCTCCTCTAAGAAAATGTTTACTGATTGACAAGATATGGTTATATTTTGAGCTGTTCTTTCTGATTGTTTTCTTTACCTCCCGTCTTCCCACGAATAGAACGTACGGTCACTATAGCTGTATCTCGGTACGGCAATAATGACCGTGGTGAAGACGGTATCATTCGAATTGGTAGGGCTATTGCTGACTATGTTTCTTACTGATGGATCCTTGTGTATCTTTTTCGTGGATCATGTCTCTTTTCTGTCATGCTGCAGGTCTCGTAAAGCATAGCAGACCAGCTTTCGTCTTCTAGCTGGCGCGAGAATCGTGGCGTCTGAAACGTGCTCTGTCGGCAGGGGCGGTTCTTGTGTGTGTGTGTGTGGGAGAGATAGATAGATAGAGAGAGAGAGAGAGAGGCGCACACAATTGTGCGTGTCTGTATTGATTGTGTGCGAGGTTTTGCGTGTGTGTGTGTGTGTGTGTGTGCTGGCGAACGCGCGAGTTACGGTGGTCAACTCCCAGGGCGCAGTGCGAGCCAGATATTTCGGTTCCGAAAGACGCTCGTTCTTCTCTTCGTGGCACGGAAAGAGAAAAAGATCGACACGTTTTGTGAGTCCATCACGGGCAGCGAGCGCTGAACTCGCTCTTCCACGCGACTCAGTGGGAGAAGGGTTTCGGAAGTCATCACCGATCCGCTTTGGAAAGCGGAGAGGAAGGCGGGGGAAGTGTCTGAGAAAGTCTAGCGAGCGCCGAACTTGCGCTTCCAGGTGATTGCAGTTCAGGCAGGTTGTTGGGGTAGTAGGTAGGCCGTGGTTTCTGTCATTCGTCTCCCACAAMGATGGCGAAGGGGTCGGTTAGTCAGTCATCTTCACTCGTGGCACGCGGAGGAGGGAGTGGTGGGACTGGCGGTTCTCGAGGTGGTCCGATAGGCGGGGCCTCGCGTGGGAGCGCCGCGGCGAGTGGTCTTCGGAGGCGTCGTGTGAGCGCTGCCGCTGTGGGCGGTGGAGGTAATAATATGCTTCGTTTCTACACGGATGATGCGCCCGGATTGAAAATCACACCGACGGTTGTCCTGGTTATGAGTCTTTGCTTTATTGGGTTCGTGACGATTCTGCACGTAGTTGGTAAGCTCTATGCGGTGAGGCCGGCTGCCTAGTTGTCTCACGAGATACGTTTCTCATAATGTGCTGGCTTATTGGCGGCTTGAGTGCAGCTGAGGACGCATATTGGGTGAGGGGTGGGTTCGACGAGTATCGTGGGGAAACATTGGCAGCAGGTCTGAAGGGGGGAAAAGCGGGGGTGCGGTGTGTAATCTAAAGGGAGGTGGTGATCCATCTGTGCTCAGTCCTTGCTGTGCGGGCGATGTTTCTGTGTTCGGGCGAAAGGCTGCTTTTGGGGCATCATCATGACCTGGAAGCGCCGCCATCGCCTATGGAGACTGAATACTCCTGCKCATCTGTTCTTGTTGTCTTTTGATAGGATAGGGCTGAGTCGACTGGAGGTAAAGTGGAATTCCACGACGGTGGTTCGGAACCAGTACTCTCCCGCTCTTATTGGATGCTGAGATATGTAGATGGTTGTGATGGCGCTTGTCGCGTCGCCTCTGTCATCGCTGGCTGTTCGCCTGCCTATCCGGTCCTTATGCGCAGTGGCGGCTTATTCTGCCGTTTTTCGTTTGTCATCTCTTGAAATAGGGCGATGAGTTTCCTTTCTCTCGATGGGTTTGAAGCCGTTGCTCATGTCTTCCTTGCGGGCTCGGGCCGGTGACCTAGGGCACATCCCGCCTATTGCCCGCTCGGTCCATGCGAGCAGGAACAAAAAATGGCTGGCGGCGGCGACCTGGGTGGGGTGTCTGTGTCTGTTGAGAGAGAGAGAGAGAGAGAGAGAGAGAGAGAGAGAGAGAGAGAGAGAGAGAGAGAGAGAGAGAGAGAGAGAGAGAGGTGCTATTCTATTGTGTGAGAAGAGTCGGATATGGCATGTTTATGGGTTGAGGCGGTGGGTTCATCCAAGCAGGGACGATTACTGGACGATTTTGATTGGACATTATGGAGCTTGTCGAGCACNGAGAGAGAGAGAGAGAGAGAGAGGTTCAACGACGCGTGTTGGGAGGAAGAATGAGAAGCTACTGGAAAAACGGAGGGAATGGAACGAAATAGGCGGCAAAACGAGAAGAATTGGAAGAAAAGGGAAGAGAGACGGAATGAAGATGGGGGCGGGATCGGGGAGAAGGGAGGAAGAAGGGCAGGTAGGTGAAGGCCGAAAACAAGTGAAGTAGGCTAAAAGGATAAAAGGATGGGAGAGGAAGGGGAGGGGAATGGTGTAGTATGGAATGGGGAAAGTAGGGGTGATGGTGCTAGGGAATGCAGAGCTCTTTACCGTAGCTAGGTGACGATAGGAGGGACTCTCTTTGTGTTTGCCATGGAATTGGCTTGCGGCGCGCGAGAGTTCGTTGATTGTTGGAGAGAGCAATCTCGTCAATTTTCCGAGAACTTGTGGCCGTTCCCTCTTGCCTCCTCTAAGAAAATGTTTACTGATTGACAAGATATGGTTATATTTTGAGCTGATCTTCTGATTGTTTTCTTTCCCTCCCGTCTTTCGACGAATAGAACGTACGGTCACTATAGCTGTATCTTGATACGGCAATAATGACCGTGGTGAAGACTGTATCATTCCAGTTGGTAGGGTTACTGCTGACTATGTTTCTTACTGATGGATCCTTGTGTATCTTTTTCATGGATCATGTCTCTTTTCTGTCACGCAGGTCTCCTAGAACATAGCAGACCAGCTTTCGTCTTCTAGCTGGCGCGAGAACCGTGGCGTCTGAAACGTGCTCTGTCGGCAGGGGCGGTTCTTGTGTGTGTGTGTGTGTGTGTGAGAGAGAGAGAGAGAGGCGCACACAATTGTGCGTGACTGTATTGATTGTGTGCGAGGTTTTGCGTGTGTGTGTGTGTGTGTGTGTGTGTGCCGGCGAACGCGCGAGTTACGGTGGTGAACTCCCAGGGCGCAGTGCGAGCCAGCTATTTCGGTTCCGAAAGACGATCGTTCTTCTCTTCGTGGCGCGGAAAGTGAAAAAGATAGACACGTTTTGTAAGTCCATCACGGGCAGCGAGCGCTGAACTCGCTCTTCCACGCGACTCAGTGGGAGAAGGGTTTCGGAAGTCATCACCGATCCGCTTTGGAAAGCGGAGAGGAAGGCGGGGGAAGTGTCTGAGAAAGTCTAGCGAGCGCCGAACTTGCGCTTCCAGGTGATTGCAGTTCAGGCAGGTTGTTGGGGTAGTAGGTAGGCCGTGGTTTCTGTCATTCGTCTCCCACAAAGATGGCGAAGGGGTCGGTTAGTCAGTCATCTTCACTCGTGGCACGCGGAGGAGGGAGTGGTGGGACTGGCGGTTCTCGAGGTGGTCCGATAGGCGGGGCCTCGCGTGGGAGCGCCGCGGCGAGTGGTCTTCGGAGGCGTCGTGTGAGCGCTGCCGCTGTGGGCGGTGGAGGTAATAATATGCTTCGTTTCTACACGGATGATGCGCCCGGATTGAAAATCACACCGACGGTTGTCCTGGTTATGAGTCTTTGCTTTATTGGGTTCGTGACGATTCTGCACGTAGTTGGTAAGCTCTATGCGGTGAGGCCGGCTGCCTAGTTGTCTCACGAGATACGTTTCTCATAATGTGCTGGCTTATTGGCGGCTTGAGTGCAGCTGAGGACGCATATTGGGTGAGGGGTGGGTTCGACGAGTATCGTGGGGAAACATTGGCAGCAGGTCTGAAGGGGGGAAAAGCGGGGGTGCGGTGTGTAATCTAAAGGGAGGTGGTGATCCATCTGTGCTCAGTCCTTGCTGTGCGGGCGATGTTTCTGTGTTCGGGCGAAAGGCTGCTTTTGGGGCATCATCATGACCTGGAAGCGCCGCCATCGCCTATGGAGACTGAATACTCCTGCKCATCTGTTCTTGTTGTCTTTTGATAGGATAGGGCTGAGTCGACTGGAGGTAAAGTGGAATTCCACGACGGTGGTTCGGAACCAGTACTCTCCCGCTCTTATTGGATGCTGAGATATGTAGATGGTTGTGATGGCGCTTGTCGCGTCGCCTCTGTCATCGCTGGCTGTTCGCCTGCCTATCCGGTCCTTATGCGCAGTGGCGGCTTATTCTGCCGTTTTTCGTTTGTCATCTCTTGAAATAGGGCGATGAGTTTCCTTTCTCTCGATGGGTTTGAAGCCGTTGCTCATGTCTTCCTTGCGGGCTCGGGCCGGTGACCTAGGGCACATCCCGCCTATTGCCCGCTCGGTCCATGCGAGCAGGAACAAAAAATGGCTGGCGGCGGCGACCTGGGTGGGGTGTGTGTGTCTGTTGAGAGAGAGAGAGAGAGAGAGAGAGAGAGAGAGAGAGAGAGAGAGAGAGAGAGAGAGAGGTGCTATTCTATTGTGTGAGAAGAGTCGGAAATGGCATGTTTATGGGTTGAGGCGGTGGGTTCATCCAAGCAGGGACGATTACTGGACGATTTTGATTGGACATTATGGAGCTTGTCGAGCACKTACATCTCGAAAGCGTGCTCCCATGTTGAGCTTTTACATGTTGAGAGTCTTGTCTCCAGATATCGGATTATCTCCTCTTCTTTTCCTCTTTTTTCCCTCTCCTTGCGCTCGGTATTCCATACTTAGGTTAGAGAGCCGTGTGATGGGCAACCATCTCGCATGGTTCGACAACGCTATTTGGGGCTTTAATGCACTCGGGATGCCTGGGCGTCTGTGTTCCCAGGTGGTGATGGACTAATGTCAAACTGACTCATTCTTTGAAGTGAACAATAGCCAATGCCCGGTTGTTGGAAGCGCCTACAACAATATTTAGGGCCTTGCTGTGTCCAGGATGCCTGTTTCCCTCTGCTCTGACGCCGTGACAGATCCTGCAACTGACTCTTTCTTAGATGTGACCAATAGACCATGCGTGTTTGTTCGGATTGCCTGTAACCTATACTCTGAAGAGTGCTGCTTGCAGTGAGAGAAAGTAGTAGTCTGCTTTGATCTCGACTGTATGCGTGGACTGCCCAGTTGGCGTTGCCGTGCTGCATGGAGGGCTTGTGTGCCAGCCTTGGATTGCCTTGCAGCTCCTGCTGCTTGCCTGCTTGCCTGCTTGCTTGCCTACCTTGCCTTGCTGTTCATCTGCTCTCATATTCCGTCGCCTTGGTGCTCGCCTGGCTCTCCCATGTGATTGTTGGATGGCGTGCCTGGCTGATACTTGGCTTGCTGCTTTGTTGTCTGCTATCGTGCCCTGCCTTCCTGCAATCTGCTTTATTGCAGCCCTCTTTTGCCTTCTTGCTTGTTCACACCTGCATGGATGTTCATTTGCAACGAGGATTGAAGTAAACTGTGAAAGCATCAATCTGGGGATTTTGCACACTTTATTCCAGGAGTAGATGCTTGTGCCTGAGCATAATCTATTTTATCTGAGAACACGCAAATATGTTTGACCATATTTTATGCATTCAGTCTTAGCGATCTCTGCACCATTGTTTCGACCTGAATAACTAATGCGAATTCCTTTCACATGATTACATTTTTCAATGTGTTGGAAAATAGATGTACAGATTTGATGAAATGATGTTTATTGTTCCAATTTGTTGCATTTTTCTTGTGCAATCAACGAAGCACTTTGATAAACAGAAGCTACTTTCAACGGCCTAACTACCGTATGAGTTTCTGCTCGACGAGATAATAAAATTGCAACAAAAGGGAAATAAAAGTAACGACAAGGTGCGAAGCAAACATAACTCTCGAGGATTCCTCCTCCTGGTGATTTCGCAGCCCTAAGGCTGTGACTTTAGTGCGGTGAGCCAGTTCGCAGCCAGGAGGTTGCGTTTTGCCCGGGAGTATTTTGTAGAGTAGCGCCCTTTTGTCATTTTGGGCATGTTGATGCCCGTTAAGAGGGGTTTAGAGCGTGTGGTGCAGTGCATGGGATTGGGGGCATTAGACGGACTCGTCGCGCGGCAGCTCGGCGTGCGGGGAAGATTGCGGGGGACCGGCGGTACGTGAGGGCGGTCGTTTTGGGGGGAGGCGGGTCGGCGTCCGTTTTCCATTTTGGGTGGAGGGCGAGGGGATTGGACCGTGGATGGACAGGTCCTGTTTTTTTTTCCCTGTTTGGGTTTCTGTATGTGGACGTGTTGGCCGCGATATGTGCTGAGCAGGGCAAGAACGGGCAGCATGGGACTACTGGATCGAGCAAATCAGCTCGAGTTTCTGAACGTCTCCACAAACACGTCTAGATCCAGGCATCAGTAGAGCTTCAGGCCGCATCCTTGAGGGGCGTTCATCCTCGGCGTCAGAACGGGTTGGGACAGAGAGGAGAGGAGGACAACGATGCGGGCGCCATACAACAACCCGCTATTCTAGTGGCGGCTGTTCCCTGTTGACCCTTTTGTTCCTATTATGGGTCATTCAGTCTCCGAGCACTTCGTGTCCATAGCTGCATCTCTTCTGACTTCTTCATCATCTTCCTATCCATGTATGCTCATCCGCTCGCTGCATCGTTGACGTCCAGGGGTGCTAACGGTTTCCAAGTAAGTGCGGAAGATGCAAGATGGCTCTCGACGGCTTTTGCAGCGGTCGCTGTAGGGATGAGCTGGTGAGATCGCTACGGAGGCAACCCTTCTCGATGGTTTGCGTAGTTCTTTTCCTGGTTGACACGTCTCTCTTCCTCTTTCAGATTGCAGGACGTCCCTGCAATGCCCGCTATTAAGTAAATTGTTGTTACAGTAGGTTTGCGTAGTTCTTTTCCTGGTTGACAGGGCAAGCGGCGGTGCCTCTGTATTGCACTGCAGCAGAGCGCGGTGCAGCCCTCTTAAAAGAAAAAAAGGAGAAAAAGACAAAGTAGATGTGACATGCCGCGCTCAATGGGAAGCACATGTCGACTAATTATTGAGAAAAAGACAAAGTAGATGTGACATGCCGCGCTCAATGGGAAGCACATGTCGACTAATTATTGCCTCCTCACTCGTCTACTTACCTAGCGCCTTGCTTCCCTTCTCGTCTGCTATCTTTATTTGCCGCTCTGATTTCCATCAGCTTCATCCGGACGGTCGGACGAGCGAGCGGGTAGCCCAGCGTCCACAGGCAGTGTGTGTGTGTGTGTGTGTGTGTGTGTGAGAGAGAGAGAGAGAGAGAGAGAGAGAGAGAGAGAGAGAGAGAGAGAGAGAGAGAGAGAGAGCGGGTAGGTGTGCGTTGAAACGATTGCCGACCGACATTCTGTAGGTGACCGTCAAGCAAGAGAAGGTAAGAGATTGAGGTGCGAAAGTGGATATAGGCAAGAGGACTTCTTTTGCTGTGGTAAGAAAAGGGCGGTGTTGTGTCGAATCTGTATAGGGGGGATTAGCAGGCATGTGCAAGCAGTCGGTGAGGTCAGGCTACTGGTCAGGCAGGCAGGAGTAGGACGCTATCAAAATCTTGAGGTTGGAGTAGCAGGAGAAGGACGAAGGGGGAGGGGGAGGATGCGGGATCACAACGAGGGTCAGGATTTGTTGGGTCAGGATTGGATTCGACGTCAGGATTGGATTCGACGTCAGAGGAAGCAAGGTGGTCGTGGAGGGGGAAGACGTTGAGCAGAGTTGCATCCTAAGCAATTCGGATTCTACTTGGCGTCTATTTGTCCTCTGTCTTCTTTATTTCTTTTTCGTTCGTTCTCTGTGTACCAGGTCATCAAAGCTGACGGCCGTTTTTTTTTTTCCTTTCTTTCTTTTTGTTTTGATAATTCTTGATTTATGTGTGCCCACCCATCCTTGCGCCAGGGCCATGCTAATCTTCTGTGTGTCATTCTTCATTCTAGCGTGGTTGCTTTTTTTTTTTTTTTTTTTTTACTAGATGGTTGCTTTTCCGACTTCCCTCCTTGACGTCTGTGTTGAAATATTTCTATTATTATATTATATATCGTCAAATAGAACTGCCCGGTAAACCGTAGGCAGAGAGGGAGAAGAGGACAACAAACGAGGGGCTGTGACAAACTGTTTCGTCGGAGTTTCACGTTTAACAGGAGTAGAGAGCTGCAGATCAAATTTACCGCCCAGGCGCTTGACTTCATCTACTTCTTTCGAATGCCTGCTATTCCACCCATCCAAATTCCACTTCATCATTCCTTATCGTTCATCATCCTTCATCACAGTCTTCATCATCCTTCATCCCTGTTTTCATCATCATTCATCTTCTTTTATTGTCGACATCTCTTACTGAAATGCACCCTCACCGTCCTCCTCATTACTGACATTGTTCTTTTTTTCTTTTTTTTTTTTTCTTAACTGACATTGTTCTCGTCATGAGAAACAGCCTATACCTCGAGTCATGGTCGGACCCAGTCTCTCCCCACTCAGCACTTCATTGTACATAGCCACTAGTTCTTCCACTAGCACCTCCCAAACAGCCTTGTAGAATTCCTTTGCCAGACCGTCATCACCGGGAGCCTTCCCATTGGCTATTGTGGCCATGGTGTGTGAGAGTTCAGGTGCTGAGATTGTTTTTTCCAATGCCTCTCTAGCCTCGGAGCTTAAAGAGGTTTCCAAAAGAGTCCCACACTTCGGAATGCTCGAGGTATTATAACTCTGATATATAAGAACGGTGACCGCAGCGAAATCAGAAACTGGCGGCCAATTTCTTTACTCAATTTTTCTTACAAATTGCTGGCCAAGACCATGGCTAACAGGCTTCCACTGTATCTACCGAGCCTTGTAGGGCTGGACCAGGCTGCCTTTGTCAAAGGCAGGTCCATCTTTGATAATAAAAGAAAAAGAGAAACAGCCTATAGAAGATGGTAATCATTCTCGCATTTTTAGTTCTTCCTTGCTGGCTGGCTCTTCTTCCCGCCCTTTCTGTTCCTGCCGTTGCTCTTCCGTCCTTCTCCATCGTCACTTTTGTTTTTATACTCCCTCCTCTCTGCCAGCTTCGCTGTCTTCTTGTTACTTCTCGTTCGTCACAAAAGGACAAGTGAGGGGATATCGATGGCTGGCACAAACTACCCAAGGTGCTTGTTTGAGTTCACTATTGTTTTACGAGATGAACCTGGTCATGTTATGGTAAATCGAAGCGTCTTTCGGAATTGCTCAACCCCCCAGACAATAGATAGTCCTCACATCTTGATGCTGCAGCTTTCCGTTCTGACGTCTCTCCCTCGTCCTTCCATCGCCTGCGCATGGTTGCTGATTTCTCAGGAAGATCAGGCATACTTATGCTGGCTATTTTTTGTGCGGCCGAATGTAGGCGTGTTTGGACATCCAGTACATCCTCTGCACATGGTGGCTGCTTTCTCAGGATTACTTAGGCCATACTCACACTGCCTACTTTTTGTGCGGCCGAGTCTAGCCGGGATTCGGCATTCAATCCATCCTGAGGGAGATTCAATTACGTTAATGTATCCATTTTGAGGCGTCATTTGTTTGCACCGAGGAGTTTTGGAATATAGGAGAATATCATATGCTCGCACTTGGGTGAATTTCTGACTTTCGGCTCTTCTTCTTCACTTCCATAACCTTGTGCTGTCGTCCTTGTGTGGCGCTGTTTGTGCTACTCCTTGCCGAGGCTGTCCGCAGCAGTCTGCCTCTGCCTCGTCTTGGTATGGGCTAACATGTTTCGAATTTGATGGCTATGGCGAGCTCGGAGTGATGGTCTTGCCCTTCGAGGAATGGGCTCTCCAGGTGTGGAGTTGAGCTGGTTTCAACTTAACTTTTTTATAAACAAATTTTGGACCATTTCTCAATTTATGTGTCCTGTTGATGAATATGGAAGAGAATCCGTCCTGAAGGGACTGCCGGTGGGTAGTTGAAACGCGTAGGGCAAGGGCCGCGAGAGTGTCGGACGCTATGGTGGGGAATTTGGGCCCAGGATGGTTCCCTATCTTCTGATGGGGATCCAATGTGGGAACCTTCTTGGTCTGTGATTATTCGTGCATGATCATGCCAGTGCGTAATGCCTTTGGGGGCCCCAAATCCACGTTCGGTCCCCACTCGGTTGGACCTTCGAGCGTGTTTTGTGCATTCTTCTTCGTCCTTTTTCACTTTTCCCTTCTTCTAACCCCTCTCTCTTCTTCTATCAGCTCCCATTTTTTCCTTCCCCCCTTTCCTCATCTCACTTTATCTTAATCAAAGCTCTTCCCTGTGACTGTCAGCATTCCTTGATCACTGCTCTTCTCACCAACTCTTCTCCTTCTCCTTGTCTCCTACTCACATAAATGCAGGCGGTGAACTGCACTGCAGAGAGGCCAAGGTGCATTCTGATCGCTTCAGGCTTGGGATCTAAGGACTCCATAGCCGGGGCTACACCTGCCATTGAGGAGACTATCTTCTTCCTTTTTTGTGTGTGGTTGTGTTGTTGGCTCAAGGGGCTTTTACCGATATGATGAGACGAGAAGGTGCACGGCTATACAGCACTTCTATATCAGAATGGATGTCCAATGGACCAGTATAGAACATCATCTCATTACCCAGTGCACGCAAAAATGGGCACAACCGAAACAAGAAAGCATTCAATGATATTCCATCGAAAGGTTTAAAAGGAAACAACACTCGGATATTCGTGAACACAAGCAATCAAGAACAAGAAACAAAAATAAAAAGAAAAAATTCGAATTTCCAAATACGAATTTCACGAACGAGGACAAAAGGTCAGTACAAGGAATGAAAGAAACAAGTGACATTACCTGGATGTTCCATCGAATGTGAAGGCACATACTTTTTTCAGAGAGAATTTTCGACATATCGCGACCATAGGGACATCGGGACGGCAAAAGTCTGCAACGGCGACGAGTTTACGATTATATGAGGAAAATAACGCCCGGGCGTTGTGTACGAACGCCTATAACGCCCGGGCGTTGTGTACGAACGCCTATAACGCCCGGGCGTTATATGCAATAAATTTGTGGTAACTTCTGTGACGCCCCAAAATTTGGAAAAAAGTAATCAAAAAATTCTGAAAAAACAAAATGTTGTCCAGGATTGGAATGAGACCAACTTTTGACTGAGGGTCACTTCAGAATTCCTTAAACTCGAAAATAAAAAATGAAAACGAAAACTAAAGCCAAAATATACCCCTTGGGAGTCAAAACCCCATTCAACCCTCTTCAAAACCCATGTACACCCCCTTCCCCGGCCTTTTAAACCCATGTATACTACCTCTTCAAGGCAATCTGCCCATGGAACATTCGTTCTATTTGAAGAAAAGTGAGTGAAAACAAAAATCTCATTTGTTTTGGATAAGTTGAATATAACGCTCGGGCATTATTTTTGGGTGAAGACGATAGGGTTCAGCCGGACGGAGAAGTATTTGGACCAAAGGTGTATATATACTGTTGATATTGGCTGGAAAGATTACCTGAGCAGAGAGGTAGAAGGGTAATCGCGACTGTATCGCTCTCTTCTCACCCGGGATTGGACAGGACGTGTATTCGGTGAAATTAAAGCCTCGCACGTGTTGTCCAATATTGCAAGTCTCTCTCTCTCTCTCTCTCTCTCTCTCTCTCTCTCTCTCTCTCTCTCTCTCTCTCTCTCCTACCCTTCCCGCCCTAAATCATAAGCCCTTCGCCATTTTCCTCTCTCTCTCTCTCTCTCTCTCACACACACACACACACACACACACACACACACACTACCGGCTCGCTCATCCCCCCATCGGGATGAAGCTTCTGGAAATCAGGGTTGCAAATAGAGATAGCAGATGAAAAGGGAAGCAAGGCACTAGGTAAGACGAGCAGTGCGGAGGCAATAGTTGGTCAAAGTGTGGTTCCAATTGAGGTCCACATGTCACATCTCTACTTTTTTCTGCACTGTGCTGCAGTGTGCTTCCAATTGAGGGCCACATATCACATCTCTACTTTTTTCTGCACTGTGCTGCAGTGCAACGTCGATCTGCCGCCATTTGCCCTATGAACGTGGAAAGAAACTATGCAAACCTACTATAAACAATTTGATAGCGGGCGTTGCAGGGACGTCCTGCAATCAGAAAGAAGAAGAGAAGATGAGGACAAACGACAGCAATCAAGAGCCAAAAATTATGAACATCACTGCGAGAAGTACGTGAATGTCGAGGGGGAAGACATCGAGAAGGATTGCATCCGTAAGCAATTTCACCAAGCTCATCCCTACAGAGACCACTGCAAAAGCTGTCGACAGCCATTGTGCATCTTGCACACTTATCTCTGTATTTTATTTGGAGCCGTTATAGTGCCCCTGGACGTCAACCGTGCTGCGAGTGCATGAGCATACATGCATATGAAGAAGTCAGAAGAGATGCAGCTGTGGACACAAAGTGCTCGGAGACTAAATAACCCATAGGCACAAAAGGGTCAACATGAAACAGCCGGCACTAGAATAGCAGGTTGCATGGCTCTCGCATTGTTGTCCTTCTCCCCTCTCTGCCCCAACCTGTTCTGACATTGAGGATGAATGCCCCCTCAAGGATGCGGCCTGAAGCTCCACTGGAAGTGTTGGCTGAGATGTTCAGAAACTCTAGCTGATTTGCTCGATCCAGTAGTCCCATACTGGCCCGTCTTGCCCTGCTCAGCACATTGCGGCCAACATGTCCCCATACAGCACAACCCAAAAAGAAAACAAAAATGGGGCCTGTCCATCCACGGTCCAATCCCCTCGCTCTCCACCCAAGGACCTGTCCATCCACGGCCCAATCCCCTCACCCTCCATCCAAAAATGGAAAACGGACGTCGCCCCGCCTCCCCAAAAAATGACCACCCTCACCTACCGACGGTCCCCCAAAATCTTCACCGCACAATGAGCTCCCGCGTGACAGGTCCGTCTCCTGCCCCTGACCGCACTGTCCACCTCCTGCCCCCGACCGCACTGTCCATCTCCTGCCCCCAACCGCAGTGTCCGTCTCCTGCCCGTGACGGCACCCTTTCCATGCACTGCACAACACCCTCTAAACCCCTCTTAACAGGGATCGACATGCCCAAAATGGTAAACGCCCGCTACACAACAAAAGTCCCCAGAGCAAAACGCAGCCTCCTAGCTGCGAACTGGCTCACCGCACTGAAGTCACAGCCTTAGGGCTGCGAAATCACCAGGAGGAGGAATACTCGAGAGTTATGTTTACTTCGCGCCTTGTCGTTACTTTTATTTCGCTTTTGTTGCAATTTTATTATCCAGTTGAGCATAAACTCATACAGTGATTAGGCCGTTATAGGTAGATTCTGTTTATCAAAGTGCTTCTTTGATTGGGGATCACAAGAAAAATGCAACAAATTGGAACAAAAAGCATCATTTCATAAAATCTGTACATCTATTTTCCAACAAAATGAAAAATGCAATCATGTGAAAGGAATTCGCATTAGTTATTCAGGTCGAAACAATGGTGCAGAGATCGCTAAGACTGAATGCATAAAACATGGTCAAACGTCTTTGCATGCGTTCTCAGATAAAATAGATTATGCTCACGCACAAGCATCTACTCCTTCTGGAATAAAGTGTGCAAAATCCGCAGATTGATGCTTTCACAGTTTACTTCAATCCTCGTTGCAAGTGAACAACCATTGAGGTGTGAACAAGCAAGAAGGCAGAAGGGGGCTGCAGTAAAGCAGATTGCAGGAAGGCAGGGCACGATAACAGACAACAAAGCAGCAAGCCAAGTATCAGCCAGACACGCCATCCAACAATCACATGGGAGAGCCAGGCGAGCACCAAGGCGACGGAATATGAGAGCAGATGAACAGCAAGGCAAGGAAGGCAAGCAAGCAGGCAAGCAGCAGGAGCGGCAAGGCAATCCAAGGCTGGCACACAAGGACTCCATGCAGCACGGCAACGCCCACTGGGCAGTCCACGCATACAGTCGAGATCAAAGCAGACTCCTACTTTCTCTCAACTGCAAGCAGCACTCTTCAAGAGTATAGGTTACAGGCAATCCGAACAAACACGCATTGTCTATTGGTCACATCTAAGAAAGAGTCAGTTGCAGGATCTGTCACAGCGTCGGAGCAGAGGGAAACAGGCATCCTGGAAACAGCAAGGCCCTAAATAGTGTTGTAGGCACTTCCAACAACCGGGCATTGGCTATTGTTCACTTCAAAGAATGAGTCAGTTTGACAGAAGTCCATCACCACCTGGGAACACAGACGCCCAGGCATCCCGAGTGCAGCAAAGCCCCAAATAGCGTTGTCGAACCATGCGAGATGGTTGCCCATCACACGGCTCTCCAACCTAAGTATGGAATACCGAGCGCAGGGAGAAGGAAAAAAGAGAAAAAGAAGAGGAGATAATCCGATATCTGGAGACAAGACTCTCAACATGTAAAATCTCAACATGGGAGCACGCTTTCGAGATGTAAGTGCTCGACAAGCTCCATAATGTCCAATCAAAATCGTCCAGTAATCGTCCCTGCTTGGATGAACCCACCGCCTCAACCCATAAACATGCCATTTCCGACTCTTCTCACACAATAGAATAGCACCTCTCTCTCTCTCTCTCTCTCTCTCTCTCTCTCTCTCTCTCTCTCTCTCTCTCTCTCTCAACAGACACACACACCCCACCCAGGTCGCCGCCGCCAGCCATTTTTTGTTCCTGCTCGCATGGACCGAGCGGGCAATAGGCGGGATGTGCCCTAGGTCACCGGCCCGAGCCCGCAAGGAAGACATGAGCAACGGCTTCAAACCCATCGAGAGAAAGGAAACTCATCGCCCTATTTCAAGAGATGACAAACGAAAAACGGCAGAATAAGCCGCCACTGCGCATAAGGACCGGATAGGCAGGCGAACAGCCAGCGATGACAGAGGCGACGCGACAAGCGCCATCACAACCATCTACATATCTCAGCATCCAATAAGAGCGGGAGAGTACTGGTTCCGAACCACCGTCGTGGAATTCCACTTTACCTCCAGTCGACTCAGCCCTATCCTATCAAAAGACAACAAGAACAGATGCGCAGGAGTATTCAGTCTCCATAGGCGATGGCGGCGCTTCCAGGTCATGATGATGCCCCAAAAGCAGCCTTTCGCCCGAACACAGAAACATCGCCCGCACAGCAAGGACTGAGCACAGATGGATCACCACCTCCCTTTAGATTACACACCGCACCCCCGCTTTTCCCCCCTTCAGACCTGCTGCCAATGTTTCCCCACGATACTCGTCGAACCCACCCCTCACCCAATATGCGTCCTCAGCTGCACTCAAGCCGCCAATAAGCCAGCACATTATGAGAAACGTATCTCGTGAGACAACTAGGCAGCCGGCCTCACCGCATAGAGCTTACCAACTACGTGCAGAATCGTCACGAACCCAATAAAGCAAAGACTCATAACCAGGACAACCGTCGGTGTGATTTTCAATCCGGGCGCATCATCCGTGTAGAAACGAAGCATATTATTACCTCCACCGCCCACAGCGGCAGCGCTCACACGACGCCTCCGAAGACCACTCGCCGCGGCGCTCCCACGCGAGGCCCCGCCTATCGGACCACCTCGAGAACCGCCAGTCCCACCACTCCCTCCTCCGCGTGCCACGAGTGAAGATGACTGACTAACCGACCCCTTCGCCATCKTTGTGGGAGACGAATGACAGAAACCACGGCCTACCTACTACCCCAACAACCTGCCTGAACTGCAATCACCTGGAAGCGCAAGTTCGGCGCTCGCTAGACTTTCTCAGACACTTCCCCCGCCTTCCTCTCCGCTTTCCAAAGCGGATCGGTGATGACTTCCGAAACCCTTCTCCCACTGAGTCGCGTGGAAGAGCGAGTTCAGCGCTCGCTGCCCGTGATGGACTTACAAAACGTGTCTATCTTTTTCACTTTCCGCGCCACGAAGAGAAGAACGATCGTCTTTCGGAACCGAAATAGCTGGCTCGCACTGCGCCCTGGGAGTTCACCACCGTAACTCGCGCGTTCGCCGGCACACACACACACACACACACACACACGCAAAACCTCGCACACAATCAATACAGTCACGCACAATTGTGTGCGCCTCTCTCTCTCTCTCTCACACACACACACACACACACAAGAACCGCCCCTGCCGACAGAGCACGTTTCAGACGCCACGGTTCTCGCGCCAGCTAGAAGACGAAAGCTGGTCTGCTATGTTCTAGGAGACCTGCGTGACAGAAAAGAGACATGATCCATGAAAAAGATACACAAGGATCCATCAGTAAGAAACATAGTCAGCAGTAACCCTACCAACTGGAATGATACAGTCTTCACCACGGTCATTATTGCCGTATCAAGATACAGCTATAGTGACCGTACGTTCTATTCGTCGAAAGACGGGAGGGAAAGAAAACAATCAGAAGATCAGCTCAAAATATAACCATATCTTGTCAATCAGTAAACATTTTCTTAGAGGAGGCAAGAGGGAACGGCCACAAGTTCTCGGAAAATTGACGAGATTGCTCTCTCCAACAATCAACGAACTCTCGCGCGCCGCAAGCCAATTCCATGGCAAACACAAAGAGAGTCCCTCCTATCGTCACCTAGCTACGGTAAAGAGCTCTGCATTCCCTAGCACCATCACCCCTACTTTCCCCATTCCATACTACACCATTCCCCTCCCCTTCCTCTCCCATCCTTTTATCCTTTTAGCCTACTTCACTTGTTTTCGGCCTTCACCTACCTGCCCTTCTTCCTCCCTTCTCCCCGATCCCGCCCCCATCTTCATTCCGTCTCTCTTCCCTTTTCTTCCAATTCTTCTCGTTTTGCCGCCTATTTCGTTCCATTCCCTCCGTTTTTCCAGTAGCTTCTCATTCTTCCTCCCAACACGCGTCGTTGAACCTCTCTCTCTCTCTCTCTCTCTC